TGTATTCTTTGTGAGGTAATGATCAACTCTACTACTTTTGTCTTATTATTGTTATCTACTTTAGAGTGCAGTTCAATTTTGACTAAGAAGGTCATTTGTAATTATTGTTGCTAGCTTGAAAATAAGGTTGCTGATTTATAGTAATAATCAAGTGATCTAATAAATTGTTCAAACCTATAATGTTCTAAAACCTTGGCCTATTTTAGGGTGCAAGCCTTGGCTCCTAAACTAGTTAGTAGTTTGCTTGTAATTTCTTGATCGACTCCCCTGAAAGTTCATAAAAACCCTCCAAAAAAGTATGTAAAAAACCCCCAAAGTTTGCAAAAAACCCCTAATAGTTTGAAAAAATCACTGAATATTTGCAAAAATACCCCTAAAAAGTTTGTAATAAAACCCCCAAAAGTTTACAAAAACCCCCTGAAATTTTTAAAACCTCCAAAAATTTTGCAGAAAACCCATAAAAAGTTTGCAAAAATTGTTAGGTCTCATGTTTATGAGCCTACAATCTAATCTAGTTTTGATGATCAATTTCTAACAACGTTTGTCGAGTGTTTATATTTGCTTGTTAGGTATTCTACACAAAGATCCTCAGTCGGAGGTTAGTTAGATTGTGTCTTCACGATGATATTTAAAGGAGGTCGGCATATATATGAATGAAGCCATTCGCATTTCTAGTCAAAGACAATTTCATGTTTCATCCTCACTACCAAGATCGAGCTCAAATGAAGATTTTTTAGCTTGGGTATATAGTGTCTAGTTTAGTTGTTATACTTTGTGTGTTTATACTTATAGCTCAAAATTCATACACCCACTTGTTTTTTTTTATATATCACCGTTTTAGATTATAGACTTAACAATAACATCTTATATATTTTCTCAAGTCTACAAATCTATTTGAAAGTGTTTCAAAACTTGTTTGAAGAAATTTTTATCAAAATCAAGTTTTAACGATTTCGTATTTTTGAACAGTTTACAAAATAAATGAGTATTCACAAAATAGGAAATGAAATTTGAGAAATTATTTTTCTAACATGTTCTATTACATGTTTATAAATATTTTACAAAATTTTATTATTTTTAGACTTGATTTATTATGTTAAATTGATTTTACAAAATCAAGTATTTCAGCAGTTTTCTGAGTCTGGAATATCTGTTGTAAAATAGTAATTTCTCACAAATGGAAAGTGATATTTCAAAAATTCTTTCTCTAACATATTTATCTACATGTGTAGAAACTTTTGTTAAAATGTTATGATTTTTGGAATTGATTTGTTATTTTTAGTTAATTTTAGAAAGTTGGTTACACAAAAATTTCAAAATCTGTCATATCTACCGTGTGCATGAAATCGGTCGACCGACACCTATTAACTAGTCAACCGGTGACCCCAAATCGGTCGATCGACACATGAAAATCAGTCGACTAACTAGAGATTTATTGCAAAAATAGCTAGTTTTTCTAGATTATATTTTTTGCGGGTTTTGCCTCGTTTTTTATGCTTTTCTTTAGCTTTGGGCTATTGTTTTGAGTATCTATAAATACCCCTTAGCCCTCAACACTTTATAACAACTAAGAGAAGTTTAAAATAAGTTTTTGAAAGTTTTTTTAAAGGTTTTTTATGTGTGTTGTTTATGTGAAGATAGTTTCACAAGAAGAGGAGATCATTTCAGTTTGAGCTTCAAATTTTCATATCTCCATCTCTTGTCTTTAGAGAAGTTTCTAAACTTATCTTATAGGTTATTTATATTTTAATTCATATACATTTGTGCTAGATTGATTTAAGTTTAGTTTTTATTTTACTCATTGATTGCACACATGACCTATTGAGCATTTTAGTATTTCACATTAAGTATAATTTGAGTTGTGATGAGTAAATCATTGAGTGTGAGCTTACACATTCGTTCCCATTTGTATTAGAGAACAAATATTGTATTTGAGCTTAATCATCGAGGATCACATTGTAATACATAAGGACACTTAGAGAAGTGGTTGGTGAGAGACATGATCAATTCTAAGAGGAGTGACGTCGGTTGTAAATCCTAGGGAGGAGTTGTAATTCCGAGCACTTGAGGAAGGTGATACGGGCTAGGCCAACACTTAAAGGAGTGTATTGTGTATTGACAATTGTGTGAGTTGTAAACATTTATCGGTGAGCATTGAAAACCAATTGTGTAGTTTTTTATGTTGATAGTGGAGATTCTCCTTGAGGGTGAGGAGCGGAGACGTAGATCGAGGGTGACCGAACTCCGTAATCATTTGTTTTTATTTGAGTTTGGCATTGGTGCACTTATTCTCTTGTATATTTTCTTATCACTTTTATCTCATGTTTATATCGCCCTTAGTTTAATTGTATATCCTTGTATATCTCATTGTATATCACATTGTTAGGATATATTAGTTAGTAAGTTTTAATTTGGCATTAAAATCGGATTAGATTAGCAATTATCCTATTCATCCCTCCTATAGGGTATTTTCATTTGGTATCAGAGGTTGGTACTCTTTGATTTGTGGCTTAATCGCCTAGAGTCAAAGATTCTCACTTTGATTTATTACTAATCTAGTTTTGCGATTATTATTTTTGCTTGCGTACTTATCATGGACATGCATGGTGCACCTAGTTTAGGCTATAATATTAATATTGCTCCAAAATTCAATGATTTCCCTTATGCTCAATGATGTGTTAGATTTAAACTTTTTGTTAGATCTAAACATTTTGATTTATGGAAAATAATTAATTATACTATATATTGTACCCACTTTGGAGAAATCTAAGTGGAGTAATAATGATAAAAAGATGTTTATCACGAACAAGCTATTGTTAGAATTTTTGTTAAATGCTTTTAACTCATCTATTTCTAACAAGCTTGCTCATTTTGATAGTGCTTACACTTTATGGAAACATATAGAAGCACATCATGACAACTTGGAGGAGATCCAAAGGATTCCAACGGATTCCACTTCAAGTAACATTGGAGCTTCATCGTGCACACGGCCACTAGACGATAGCCCTGGTGAGGTATGCAAGTCTGAATCCGAATGTGATTTATCTATTAATAAACTCGCTTGTGCATATGAGAGATTAATCCATACATATAACAAATTGTATTATAATTTTATAAATTTAAAAAGCGAGCATGTAGAGTTAAAATCCGATCATGATATGCTAACTTCTAAATTTGATTCTATTGCTAAAAAATGTGATCCTCAAAGAAAATAATAAAAAATTAAAATTGGATCATATTGACTTGACTTCCAAAGTTGTTAGTATAACTCATGAGAAGAATGACGCCTTATTAGAAGTAGAAGCTATTAGAGATGAATTTAATTCTTTTAAGAATGATCGTGTTTGTTCTACTTCTATTGTCAATGATGTTGTGCAAATAAATGAGTTGAATAATGTAAAAACCCGTATATCATCTTTAGATTCAACTTTAAATACATGTCTTGACAAACATAAGAAACTTATGGATATATGTGCTAAGTCACGTACTATAACTTCTAAACCCGTACACTACACACACATGTATGACAAAATTTATAAGTGTACTATTTGTGGCCGTAAAGACCATCTCGCAAAATTTTGCTATGATACACTAAAACCCAAAAATGCTAAATTTATTGCTTCATGTGCATCCCATAAAGTTTCATCATCACACACACATGCACATGCACCTATTGTTAATCATAAACATGCTCATGTGTTTAAATGTTATTATTATGGTAGGTTTGACCATTTAGCAAATTTTTATTTTGATTTGCAAAAATTTTCAAAATTACAAAATGTATTAAAAAACCACAATTGTGTAAAAATGTTTCACGTGCACCTTCACACGGTCAACAAAAATAAATACATTCATTTCATTGCACTTATTGCAATAGGATGAGTCATTTGCATAATTATTGTTATGACCAATCCCGTACACTAAATGCGCCCAAATAGAGTCATAACCCATTAAAACAATTAAATATTAAAAATAACAAAAAAATAATTAAGTGGGCCAAATAGACCGATCTGTGTTATGCCTCGTTCCGCATGTTCTTGGGCCTGCGAGCAGGCTAGGCTGAGCTCTAGGCCCAGGAACAAGCGACAAAACACGGCT